ATTTGTTGCTTTAGAACGAGTATCAGGGAGAATATCATGCATCATATGACGAACAGTCCTCCCAAGCCTCTGGACGAGTCGTAAACGGCGATCACAGAGTCTGTCCAAACCAAATCGTTCAAGGGCGGCGGTATAAGAAAAATATCGCCGCCCATGGACGATTCTGCAAAATCGTTTTTGGACAGACTCTAAATCATCACTTTGTCCAGCTGTAAGAGAGGAGTGCCACGTGGGACAGGCATATTCAACCAGGGGGCGGATGAAAGATTTATATATTTTTATGATATGTGTCTCAGGTGCACCACATTTTTTTAGTATAGACACCATATGCATAGTTTGATTAGCTTTATTTATGGTTTCGGATATGTGTGCATCCCACTTTAAGTTATCCTGGATTATTACACCAAGTAGTTTTAATTGATTTACAGACTTAACTAATGCATCGTAATTATAAAGTGCTTCGTTGGTCCCTGGGGTCTTACAAAAATTAATGTTAAGTGATTGACATTTTTTGGGGTTTAAGCGCATTTCATTTAGTTGGCACCATTCTTCTAAATTATTTAAATATGTTTGGATATTGTCTGCACAGTTGTTTTTTGAAATATCAGCAATGGAAAGATCATCCACAAATTTCCACCTAGTGGGACAATCAAGAGCAGAGTCATTAATCATTACTTGAAAAAGGCTTGGGCCTGTTTTAGTTCCCTGCGGAACGCCACAAGTTATGGGAATCCAGCATGATGTGATACCATTGTAAAGTACTCGTTGTTCTCTGTCTGTCAAAAAATTACAGAACCAAGGAGTAATGGATTTCCTCACACCGACTGACAAAAGCTTTTGAATTAGTATTGGGTGACTTATTCTATCGAAAGCCTTGCTGAAGTCAACAGCCAGAATTCGCGCCTTATTACCAGGCTTATCAAGACCAGATAAAAGATAGTGTAAAAGCCCAACTAGGTAATGATTGGTGTTATAATAAAATCATAAAAATATATAAATCAAATATAGGTAACAAGTCCTCATTTAACCACTAATTTACAAAATGTTCTAATATTCGAACAAACAAAGAGGTGAGTGAAATTGGTCGGATCTGATCCAGTCCCACATTGCCTTTCTTTTTTGGTATTGGAATTACAGTCGCCTGTTTCCAACGCTTTGGTACAATACCTTCGGAGAGAGAGCGGTTGAAAATATGTGTAAGTGGTTCGGCTAATTCTGGTGCAAATTCCTTGATGATAGCTGGAGGGATTTCACCTGGAGGAACTGCTTTACTACTTTGAACTTTGGTAAGTTGCTGTCGAACTTCGCTAACCAATAACTGTGGCGGTGGTGATTCTGCAGGAAGAAATGAAGAGAGTTCATCTAGTTTTAAAGGCTCTAGCTCCTGGCAAATGTGTGTTAAGTGTTCGTTTATCATTGCGGAAGCATTAATAGCAGTTTCAGGAGACGGATTTTCAAATACAATGCGGGGACTATCTTTGGATTGGCCACAAACCTTTTTCACCTTCTTGTACCAAGCACGAGGATTAGTGGTTTCAAGTTGTTTTACTTTATAGCGATAATATTTTTTTTTTGCTTTCTTGATTTCCCAATTTACCTTGTTCCTGATGGTTTTGAATGTACCTAATAAATTGCTATTGAAAGCTGCCTGTCTGTCCTTAATGAGTTTTTTTTAGATAGGGTGTGATCCAAGGTCTGTCTGTGGAATATATGCAAATGTTTTTGGTCGGAA